ACAGAGAGAGACAGAGAGACAAACAGATGTACAGCAACAACAGAAGCAACAACTACATTAACAGTAATGATCGATGACGATCATGAAAAAGACAGCAGTTACTCTTATGTTGCTTGCAGTAACCAAAACTTTTCTTGTGTTGTCAGCCTGGAAGGAGCTTTTGGCCTTAAAATCTTAGAATTTAGGTGTTGGTATGAATTATTTAGGAGCACTGCTTGGAAGAAATATGCAGGTAAGACCAGAGTTAACAGGAGCTCCTGCAAACTGCACCACATGGCAACTCAGTATCACTGATGTACTGTATTTTAGCTGGAATGAAAACTAAAAATATATATAAATGTACATATATTTTCCTAAAGGATCTCTACTTTAATCTCACATCTAAATTAGACACCTGGACCGACATGGTGAGTTTTCTGGGTTTTATCTTGAGCAGTATTTGGCAGCAGTCCACTAAAGTTAATGATCCAAGCTGAACAAACTGCAGTGCTCCACACCCAGCCAGATACACAAAACAGCTAGTGCCATAGTCAGGCCACTGTTGTGAAACACTTGTGGTATACAGTAAGTAACAGTACGGTTCTAAGTTGTTGTTCTACTTGTAGGTGGATTGTTATTTGATCCACGTAGTTCTGCCCTGTTAAAATATCCTGTTGTGTTCCCTGTCTGTTCTGTCAAAGAGAATAATTTTCCTGGAATTTTCATAAATATAAGAATCAGTTTATTTCCAAGAAGCTCGCCGGGAGCCATTTATTTGAACTGCTGAACCGTAGCTATGGTAGGAGGTAACCGCGTTGGTCTGAAAGATGCACTTGAGATGTGGGAACTAAAGTATGCTTCAAACCAGCCTCATCCCAAACTCTCTGAAACTGACAATCTGACTGTCGCCCACTTTGTGCAGAGATGGGCCAGATGTGTGGAGGTGAGAAAGGAGAGAGTGTCTGAAAGTGTCTGAAAGTGTGTGCCATTATCTGCAGCTCCTCCCTCTCTATAACCACCGTTGATCATTTGGAAAAAGCTATAAACTCTCTTGCTTTTAGACTTTTAGACTTTATACAAACTACTTTAGTTTGTACCCTTTAAGCGTACCTTTTCTGGGGGCTAAATCGTCATGCTACCTGCTGCAGCGAGCATTGACAAAAGGATTAAGCCATAGACTAAGAGAAGAGAAGAAAGGTTATGTTATAATAAATAATTTCACTTAATTTGCATTGTTTAACACATACAGCACACTATCATAGTTGCATTTTCCTCATGTGCATCAAAATATACTGTTCATATTGTGGTACTTGATATATAACCACACCCTAAGAGATGGGTTTGTCAGACTGTTCTCTTCCATACAGTGAAACAAACAGAAACTCAGCGTCTAAAGCCTGTGGCTGCAGTGGGACATGCTGAATCATATCTGCCATTAATACCGATGGGGCTCTCACTGCTTCTGCTTCTTGGGGGTGTTTCAGGAGAAGAATTTGGACAGTATGCTGAAATGGACTAACTCTTTTTAGATTGTGAAAAAGGGAATCTCTTCTGGTGGCTATTTTTTGACACCTTTTGGCCTTTTGGCACTTGCTTGCTGTGGCCTGAATTCCTGTGACGTCTGACTGTATTTCTGTGTGAATACTAACCATTGGGGTGGTGAATACTGTGCTGTGGGATGGAGCAGTAACTTAAATCTTAGTTTTTGTGTTCATGTTCCCTGTGGTCACATGGTTTAGTCTAATTTACCTCCTGTCTTTTTTTTTTTTACCCTTCTACCCATCTCCCTCATTTTTCTTCATCCTGTCGCTCCATCCATTTCGTTTCTTTCTGCTCTCGTTGTTTATTCTCCGTCCATCCTCCTCCCTTCTTCTTTCTCTTGTCTCTCCTTTTTTCTCCATCCCACAACTTCATTCATTCCACTTCATTCCACTCATCCAACCATCTGTCCTCCTTTCCGTTCTCCATTGTTCTCTTTCCATTCTCCCTTCCTCCACCTCCTCCTCTCTCCTCTCTGCAGATACAAGAAGACTCAGGAGACTCTCTCCCAGGCGGGACAGAAGACCAGTGCAGCTCTCACCACAGTGGGCACGGTCATCAGCAAGAGACTGGGCGACATGAGGTATGATGCAGCAGAGCCAAAATGGGCGACGCTCTGGCTAGGCTACAAGAACAAATGAGCAGAGTGGACAGTGTTGAAACAGAAAGATCCCAAACCCAGAATGTCATACGACTGATGTGTATTTATTCTGGGAAACTGAGTGAAGAAGAAAGAGGTTTGAACTTATGAAAATATGGCGAAATAAAATGTAGCCTACATAAGTAAACTAACTAAAACTGGTGACACGTCAAACAGTTTGAGCTAAAATCTCAGTTATATTGTGTTTTTTAGAGTTTGTGCATGTAAACATAAACATACTCATAATCAGTTTGAAGTCAGCTGAGTATTTGGTTACTGCGACACTGTCCACTGTTCTTTTTTTCTCGTAGTGCTGAATTTGACCATTGATCAGCTTCTTATGCTCCTTCTCTCCTCTAACCTTAACTAGTAGTGCTGTAGATGCAGAACTGACTCCAACACATCCTAGTGTCGAGTACATTAGTTCATTTATTTAACAGCTTTGACGATCAGTTTACTCACTTGAGGGTTGGTTCAACGTGATTTAGTTTTCCATCTGTAAAAAATAAAGATGTGGAACAGGTTTTTCTTTTAGAGATGCACATTTAACTTGAAGATAAAGCATTTTTAGTATATTAGGTTTGTTTTTAAGTCGTTGAACCATTCCCGAGATGTACCTACTTTTTCTTTTCACCCTGGAATCACACTCTGTTTATTTGGCTTCAAACTGTACCGAGTCGTTCAGATCATACAGTACCAAACATAAGAAAACATTAGTAACAAGACGTTGAGTGATAAAGCAACAATTCATCGAGTGTGATGGAGGGGTGAAAGAGAGAAACCATGTAGCCGTAGAGAAACAAATAGACTCTGTGAAGATGCACTAACCACTGACTCCTTCACATCTAACTCTCCTCTCTGATGGCGCCTTGTTGACTCACGCAACCGTCTGTAATTATATTAATGCTTCCATTTTTCCACCCACGTTTGATATTTGCTCCTAATGCAAGGGTGTGTGAGAGGAAGTGATGCATGACTGTCTGAGTGTACTGACGTGTGTGTGTGTGTGTGCCTGCCTGTTGTTCAGATGCTTCTCGTACATGATATCACACTAACATTCTTCAGCGGTTGTGACCTGTTTTACTCTTTGTGTCTATAATGTGTATCCCTGCATGCTGCATGTTTTCCTTTGATTCATCCACAGTGAATCCTCCGTAGCTGACAGATGTACTCTGATTAGTTCTTGTTCTCAATGTCCCTGTTTTGCTCCTAGTTACAGTTTCCAGTGCAGGTTGTGTTGCTAGAAGGTGTGCTCTGGATTATTAATCAAAAGAAACCTCATAACTACACTTACTTGGTACATGTAATTATAGTGGAGGTGAGAAGGAGTGAATACATTGTATGAAACTGCACATTTATTATTCTGAAACAGTTCCAGTATATTAAAGACAAGAGGTTTGTGCTTTGAGTTACTGTAAATTCTCAAATAGTGGCCATTATTTGGGACATAATATTATAGTGAGGCCTTTTTTCCTGATTTCCCCCTGTTCCCCAGTTAATGCAAACTCAAAGCTTCACCCTTGTTTACCTGTTGCCTTGATGAATTCAGTATAATGTCCATTTCCAATCAGTGCAACAACAGAGTGAGAATCATGTCAGCAGTTCCACTTTTTCAACATTTTTTGCAGTTCAGATATCAGTAAGGTGAATAATGATATCTGAACATATTAGACTCAACTCTAGTTGGCGGTAGCTTAGCATCGATAACTGTTTGAATACCTTTTTTATTATATTTATTTCATAGACAGCTGAAAAATGAAAAATGGCATTTGAGCGTGTTAGAACTCAGTGTTTAAAGTGTAAAAATCACATTGGTATGAAGATAAAGAAACAAGAAAATCAGGCTGCTGATAGAAGAAACAGTCACACAGACAGAGAGTTACACAGCAAACACATCCCTGCTCTGTTTTCTGAAGTCAGTGCTTTCCTCCTCTTCCTCCTCTTCCTCCCGATCCCCCTGCTGATAACATTGCTGCCTCTCCCCTCTGTTTTGCTCTTGTCAACTGTTCTGGTTTGTGTTTGCGCCCTGATTCTGCTGCTCGTGGCTCACGCTCTCTCCTCCTTTTGTTTTTAATCGCTGCCTTGGTTTGACCTGCAGAGCTCTACCTTTCTCTAATTCCTTTAGGTAAGACTGACATGTCCTAGTAGAACCAAGAGTCCAATCACACAGTCGTTATTGTACATTGTACAATAAGTTATAAGTTATTGTACAGAAAATCATTTAACCCATAGAGGTTAAGCTCTGCTGTTTTTGCTATTGATACTTTGACTTTTGCTTTATCCAAACTGCTATCTATTATTATTATTTTATTCCCTAAGATTGCCTTAATGTATTTTCCCTTAATACATAGATACTTAGCATGCAGCCCTTTGCTGGTACTTTATTTTATTATTAAATTAAAACAGCATTTTGGCATCATTAAGTGAGTTATTGAGTGAACTCTGCTGGATCACAATGCTGTATGTCTCAAAACAGAGAGCACACATGTGTAAGATGTTTCATGAAGAAGTGTTCATGTATGTTATTATATATGATGAATACACTTACCTGTGAACACATTTTTAAGGCTGCAATGGTTTAATCGACATAAAAAAATAATCACAACCATTTTGATAGTCGATAAATCGTCGCTCAAATATGGATATTCAAAATGAATTGGAAGGTTAATCGATAATGAAAATAACTGCTAGTTGCA